CTTGTTTACCTTCAAGCCTTTAAGACCCCAAATGCTATACCTTTTGATAGCCGGGCACCATCAGCTTTCTTCAACATATTTGCTTATGCACCATTTGTCTTCAGTGATCGTATCATGGAGGTGAGCATAAAATGATAGGTTTTTTGTTCTTTGACACCAGATAACTGATCCCTTTGGCACCTCATGATCACACAGGCTGTGTTCTTCCATGTGGGCTTTGTTGCTTCTGAACTAGATGGTCGCTTGTTTACCTTCAAGCTTTTAAGACCCCAGACGCTATATCCTTTGATAGCCGGGCACCATCAGCTTTCTTCACTTTTGCTTATTCACCCCTGAAGTTTGCTCTTGACCAAAGAGTAGCTAAAGCAAATGAAGAAATGATAAACTCAGAGTTGAATAGAAATTTCAAAGAGCAGCTTCAAAAGACAAAGCCAAATATTATAATGAAATGTGCAAAAACAATTAGAAACCCAAAAGGATGCACTTAGCATATCTTAAACTGAAAAAATTAAAACCTCGAGTTGCAATATTGAAAGATTCTATGGGGAAAATATTGAATGATGCAGGAAGCATCAAAGGAGATGGAAAAAATACCCAGAGCTACTGTACCAAAAAGCACTAATCAACATTCCACCTTTTCAGAAAGTAGCATGAGCAAGAATCAATGGTGCTGAAGGAAGATGTTAAAGCTGTACTGAAAGCATTAGCCAAAAACAAAACTCCAGGAACTGATGGAATACCAACTGAATGAAGCTAATGAAGTACAGGAAGCTACTACTTGGTCAACTGATGGGAAGAGATCCATATTTGTATTCATTCCAAAGAAAGATGAGCTAAAAGAATGCTCAAACTACAGAACAGTATCACTTATATCATATGCAAGTGAAATTTTGCTCAAGATCATCCAACAATTGTTACATTAGTACATTGGCAGGGAACTGCTAGAGGTTCAGGCTGAATTCAGAAGAGGACATGAAACAAGGGATTTCATTGTTGATTGTCAGATGGGTCCTGGCTGAAAGCAGAAAATATCAGAAAACTATTTATTTGTGCTTTATTGACTATTCCAAGGCATTCAACTGTGTGAATCATAACAAATTATGACAAACTTGAAAATAATGGGAATTCCAGAACACTTCATTGTGCTCATGAAAAATGTGTACATGGATCAAGAGGCAGTTGTGTAAATGGAATAGGGAAACTACATGGTACAAAATCAGGAAAGGTGCGAGACAGGGTTGTATCCTCTCACCATATTTATTCAATCTGTATGCTGAGCAAATCATCAGAGAAGCTGGCTTACATGAAGATGATTGTGGCATCAGGAGTATCGGAACACTTATTAACAACCTGCAATATGCAGGCAACACAACCTTGCTTGCTGTGAGGACTTGAAGTACTTGCTGATGAAGATCAAGGATTACAGCCTTCAGTATGGATTATGACTGAATGTAAAGAAAACCAAAATCCTCACAAATGGACCATTAGGTAACATCATGATAAATGGAGAAATGGTTGAAGTTGTTAAAGATTTTGTCTTGCTTGGATCCACAATCAATGCTTATGGAAGCAAGAGTCAAGAGATCAAAATAGAAGATTTATCGGTTAAAGTTGATGGCACAAGACCTCTTTAGAATGTTGAAAAGCAAGAATATTACTTTGAGGGCTAAGGTGCACCTGACCCGAGCCATGGTAATTTCAACTGCCTTATATGCATGCGAAAGTTGGACAAAGAATAAAGAAGACCTAAGAGGCATCAATGCTTTTGAATTGTGGTGCTGGAGAAAAATATTCAAAGTATCACAGACTGATAAAGAGCAAACCAATCCATCTTGGAAGAAGTATGGCCAGAGTGCTCTTTAGAGGCAAGGATAGCAAGACTTTGTCTTACATACTTTGGACATGTCAGAAGAGCTGGAGGAGGATATCATGTTTGGTAAAGAGGAGGGCCAGATAAAGGAAGGAAGGCCCTCAAGGAGATAGACTATCAATGGGCTCAAGCACAGGAACAATTGTTACAACGGTGCAGGACCACGTGGTGTTTGGTTTTGTTGTGCAAAAGGTAGTTCTGACTCAGAACAGACTTGATAGCACCTAACAACAATCATCTTTATAGAAGCAGACTGCCACATCTTTCTACAGTGGAGTGGCTAGTAGGTTTGAACTGCTGACCTGTCAGCAGCTGAACAACTGACCATTGTGCCATCAATACAGTGTACTATACTTCTGGCAGTCCTCGGTATATTCAATATTCTTTGCCATTACAAAAATTTGTATGCATCAAGCCTCACCTTCCCTTTTCACTATCCAACTTTGCTTCTATATGAGGCATCTTAGTTATCAAAGTGATATTTTTTCTTTTCTTTTTTTTTTTTAACATTTTATTAGGGGCTCATACAACTGTTATCGCAATCCATACACACATCAATTGTGTAAAGCGCATTTGTACATCATTCTCAAAACATTTTCTCTCAGCTTCAAAGAAACTTTTTTTGCAGCAAACTTGCTCAAGTGAAGTATGTCACTTGGCTTCTTGACTACTGCTTTCATGGATGTTGGTTGTTGACCCAACTAAAATGAAATCATTGAAGCCTTTATTTCTTCACCAATTTATCATGTTTACTGATCCAGTTGCAAAGATTTTCATCTTGTTCATGTTCATGTGTAATTCATGCTGCCAATATAGTCTTAAACCTTCATAAGTAAGCACACACCCCAGCCCACCTCCCCAACACACAGACACACCTAATGTATTTGTCCAAATACAGTTTTGTTTATATGTATGCATTATATCCCTAGAAAAATCATCCCAGTTTTCCCTCCTGTGTTTTCTGTCTTGTGTCCTGTGGTTCATGATGTCAGCTAAGGTCATCAGTATATTGAAACCAAACTGACGGGATGGGAGCAGATTATTCTGCCTTTTTTATAGATCTTTGAGTTGTACATCAAAATGTGGGGGTGACCATTTCACACTTGTCAAGCCTGCCTATGAGAATCACAATTCTATCAGCACTATAATCATCAGTGATTTAAAATTCACCAATGTAACTATGTTTCATCATTACAGTTAGAAACGGAATGACGACTTTGGAGCATGGTCTAAGAGCCTAGTGTTTTTGCATTACTGATGTAGAATGGGACAGGTTGTTCATACAAATCATTATCATGGGGTAAAAAAGAGAATCAGTTAAGTACTTTAGTTCCCAGGTTGTATCATCCACATATCACAGGTTGTTAATCAGCTGCTGTCTAATCCTGATGCTATGTTTTTCATCATAGAGTCCAGCATACCAGGTTTTTGTTCAACCTACATACTTAATAAGTTACAAATACAACCCTTGCCACTCACCTTTTCTCAATATGAATCATGCAGTGTCCCTTACTCTGTTTTAACAACTGCCATGTACAGGTTCCATGTGAATGGGAATTCCTGAATCATTAAATGTTCTCGAATTTCCACTCTTCATAATGTTAAAAGAATTCAGTACTCCAATAGTAAATATTTATCAAGGCCTTACTATATGCAGGCCCACTGCTAACCACTTCCCAGACATTATGTAATTAAATCTATATAGTGATTTAGGTATTATCATTGTTATATTAGAACATTACAGCTGAGAGAGTAAATGCCTTTCTAGAAGTCACAGATGTTAAAGCTGAGATTCGAGCCCAAGCTTTCTGACTCGAGCCCATTCTTATTCACAATGTGTTTCATTATTCCCAATAGCTTATTTTATTGTTGTTTCTAAATATTTGTATATATGGCTGTAACTTTTTACCTTAAACTGCTTTGACTTTACCACACAGGATTTAATATTATTCTCATTTTCATTTAGTCTGTCAGTTTTGACTTTTTTCTACAATTTTAAGAGTTGTGAATATGATTTTTTAATGAAATAAATAAAAACCAAGTACATTTTAAACTTTTATTTTTGACATTTGTAGCATATATTTCAAGTACTCCGCAAAAATAGGCAAAGAACATATATTTAGCATTAAAAAATTATATTACTATAAGAGTGGCCTAGACCAACAATGAAGGTGCTCATTTTAAAACCCCAAATACTACAAATGGAAGTGATATAGAAAACAAGTCACATAAAACTTGAATCTCTAAAAATTAAAATTGTTATTGTTTTCATCTATGTTCATTAGATTTTCTTTAGCGTATTCTATATGGAGAAGACAATATATGTGAATTTGGTTTTTAGTTTTGATTTTAATGGTCTAATGACTATTAAAATGTAAAACTTGTATTCACCAGTAATGCCATAAAATACAATGAATGTGTCTAACACATTCCCCCAACCATAAATGCAGTTTCAAAATTAAAAACTGATACTTTTTTTCATTTTCAAAACATTTTCTTCCTTTTTGTACTCCTTGATAGCAGCTTCACATTACCCCTGCCCCTCCCCTGCCATACCCTGAAGGAACTCTTATTCTAGTTACTTTCTCTATAGATTCACCCAACCTGGGTTTCATATACCAAAAAAAAAAACACGTAGAAATATACATAACAGAGTCAAGAACACTACCAATAGTAACAAAATACAACAGAGATAAATCCCAATTTGAAGGGGGAAAAAAACAGCTCAAGTTCAAAGTGCATCAAAAGGGATACCAAATGACAAGGTTTTAACCATCCGTTAGATTTATCATTGTAATCTACTATAATTGTCTCTGTAATACTCTGTCTGATTACCAGTTTATTCCCATCCTCAAATATGATAGGAGGGAAGAATTATTCCATAAGTAAATCTTGAACATGTATTTTGGGCTTCCACTGTCATCCATTGCTTTTTGCAAACCAGATTTCACAATTTCAGTTCTGTTACCATTCCCTCCTTCAGATTTTGATTATATCATTTAAAATCCTTAGATCACAGATGTTGATATAACTAAGTTCACGTGGACTTAGTTAAATGTCTCACTTAGATGGCTGCTTGTTTGAAAACAAGCCTGTAAGATCTAATACACTGGGGGTCCAAAATGGCAGCCGGACGCTACCAAAGTTTCCTTAAGCTCTGTGAGGAATGGCCCGTGGATGAGACCAAATGAGGCCGGGAATTGGGCGCTTACCTGTGGCAGCAGGTAGCTGAGGTCTTTCAGGAGGGAGAGAACATGCAGATCGCGGAGCCTGAAGCCTGTGATCAGATGTACGAGAGCTTAGCATGGCTCCATTCAAACTATTACAAACACAAGTACCCTCGACCCAGAGACACAAGCTTCAGTGGCCTGTCCATGGAAGAGTACAAGCTCGTCCTGCCCACAGACACCTTGGAAGAATTTAAAGAAATGAATAAAGGCATGTGGAAGAAACTGCAGGAGAAGTTTGCCCCCAAGAGTCCCGAGGAGAAGCACAAGGCCTGGGCGAGGTCCTTGTCTCATCCACGTCCCTAAGTATGGGGTAAAGATCTAATACACTATTCTTTCTGACAGCCAGGTACCATCTAATTTCTTCACCATATTTTGCTGTAACCACCATATCTTCCGTGTTTCCTTCATTCGGGTATGTATAACACAATTTGTAGTGGAGGGTGGGGTTCGTTAATTTTACTTTTAAAGTAATATTTTGAGGGAGAAAAATATCGAAAACCTTTTGAAAGTAAGTTCTGACTAGTGACTACACAGTAATGATATGAAATCCAAAGGCAGAAAAGTACAGAATGAAAAGGAAGTTTCCCGAATAAAGGGGCTCTCTCCTGCTCTCACTCCTGGGGAGCTCCCCACGAGGACCATCAAGGAGGGCTGAATTTAATGCACTCCCTGCTCCTTGTAAGCAAACTTCCTCCTGCCAATCAATGGTCCTGTGACCTCATCATATCAGCTGGTTCAACTCCTCTCCTGCCCACTCTTCCCACCCAGTTCTACCCACTAGAAGGAGCCCTGGAGGTGCTGCTGGGCCTCAGGCTATGTGATATGATCCCTGGAAGTACTGGAGAATGAGTAATCAAAGGCAGCCCCACCAGCATTTCATGGCCGCACGAGCGATTCCCAATCAAAACCCTGGACACCAAGATTAGAAGCAAGTGACAGTCTGATCCTGCATCGTCTTTGTGACCACATGCACGGTGGAGTACATGGTGCCTGGGCTCACCCATGTCACCAAGCTTCTCCTTGACTCTCACTGGTTCTCGGCTGCAGCCAACATGATGGCCCGCCCCCAGCGCTTGATCCCTCCCGGTGATGTATTTAAAACAAGCAGGAAGGAGATAGATAACTCACTGGAGGCCAGACACTCTCTCTGTATGTCTCCCTGTGAGACATGCCTGTTGACAAGCCACATGGAGCTACACTGATGGAGCCAGAGCCTTGGAGCTGGAGGAGCCACGTGGAGACCCACACCAGTGCTGAGATGCTCCCACTGCCACTGGATCCACAAGACTTTCCACCCACTGGCCTGTGATCTTCCTGTACTCAGTGTTATTGCATGCGTTGCATGGGTCTGAAGAGGAACTTACAGACTGGTAGCGGACATATGGGCTAATATTGGACTTATGGACTTGACCTGGACTGGGCTGGGATGTTTTCTTAGTGTACAACTGCTCTTTGATATAAAAGGCTCTTTTACACACACACAAAAAGAAAAAAGAAAAGAAAAGGAAGTTTTCCACTCACTTCTGACTTCAGGCTACCTAGACCTCCTCCCTGCCGGTAATTAATATTTTGGACATCTTTCAAAACCATCTAAAATAAACATAAAACTAGGAATAGGCAAAAAGCAGTAGTTCTCAGTAAATGTAAAACAAAAATGACCTCTTCTGATCACTGTCAGGTAAGTATAAAGAAGATTGCCTATTATGCTCGATTTCAAATATCAAAGCATATTCTCTTGTCATGACTACTGCTGTTCATCAAAAACTTGCTGGGCGCTGGGCATCTAAGGACTTTGGTACTATGCTGTCAGAGTGTATGATTCAAAATAAATGAAAACATGATCCCTATTCTAAAGAAGCATACATTTTTTACTAAGGAGATGAATTAGAAGACAAAAATATCCTCCCAGGATAATCCTTTTTCTATTATCTTTGAATCTCTTGAATAGTATCTAAAAGAGCTTCCTGGCTCTTTCCCTCCACCTTCACCATGCCATCAAAATTGCTCTTTCTCTGAATTCTCTCAATTTCAGAATATATCATCACCGTTCAGCAGAAATGAGTTCTAAATAAGGATGGAAACTCATCCATCCTCTCCCATTGCCACTCTTAAAAGACCCACATCATCTCTCACCTGGGCAACTAGCCAGTCTCCCTACTCAATCCCTTCTCTAAAAATCATGTTCTACATACAACTTTCCTCTAGTTCTTTAATGCTTCTTCCCCACAAACATGACCCCAATTCTACCTTACATATCCAGCTAGACCAGAGCATGTACACTGGTACAGATAAGAGCTGGCAACACAGGGAATCCAGGACAGATAAACCCCTCAGGACCAATAATGAGAGTAGCAATACCAGAAGGGGAATAGGAAGGTGCGGAGAGAAAGGGGAACCGATCACAATGATCAACGTATAACCCCCTCCCAAGGGGAGGAACAACAGAAAAGCGGGTGAAGGGAGACAGCAGTCAGTATAAGACATGAAAAAAATAATCAAAGGTTCATGAGAGAGGGAGGGTGGAGGAGGGGGTAAATGAGCTGATACCAAGGGCTCAAGTAGAAAATGTTTTGAAAATGATGATAACACATGCATAAATGTGATTGACACAATGGATGTATGGATTGTGATAAGAGCTGCAAGAGTCCCCAATAAAATGATTTCTAAAAAAAATCATGTTCTAACCTTCCATTCTGAATTTTGCCCATCCTAAGTAATAATGATAGAGGTCTTTCCTCATATGGCTTCCAGCTCTCCAATGTTGTATCTTATCACTGCCATCACTCCTCCTCTCTTCTACGCAGATATGAGCATTTCATCCTCCAACTATTCTTTTTATCTAGTTCATCCAACTTATCCATGCAGCAGTTTAATTTGCTTGAAATGACTCCTTTTTCCAAACCCTATCCACCCATCTACCTAACACCTCTTCTGACAAAACCCAAATACCCTCCTGGACCGGCACCACTCCTTCCCTCCATTGTGACACCACAAAGCTTGTACATAAGCTAGAAAGTACTATAAAATTATTCAACATTTCATTAAACAAAAACAAAAAACATCAAAATCCAAAGCTGTTATTTCTGAACACATCCTCCATCTAAGTTTATACACTTCTGAAGGTGGTGTTTCCATTTCTCTAACCTTCTCTGAAGAATTCTGACCTCTTCTGTTTAAACTACATCCAAATTATTTTGGTACCTCGAGAGAACAATGCTCTTTTCCAGTGTTCTTTAAATTTAGGATTAAAAAAATGGCTGAAGGGGCAAAATTAGGGCTATAGGGTGAATGTGGTAAGGTTTCCCAACCAAATGTGCAGGCTTAATGTTCTCTAATAGATATTACAAAGGCTATATATATATTACAATGTACTCACAGACATAAATCATGATTAAAGGATTTATTATTAAGGAAGTTAACAAGTTGTACTGCCAGTGAGAAAAGCCAGAGTAGTTTCAGGTCTGCTAATAAATGCCCAAAGAGGCATATCACTCTGCTGTAAACTTTACCCAGAAAGCATTAAACTCAAGCTCCTTGAGTTACCAAACCCAGACCCAAGAATTACCATAAATGCCAAAGGCACTCCACTCAGTAAGCCTCAACCTGAAGGTGCACAGTTCCACTTAGCAAGTCTAACCTTCCCCAGGTAAATGCCCAGAGGCACTCCACTCCACAAGTCAGACTCCAGCATAAAAACATAACTTGATCCATGGGTTGGGAAGTCCATCACTCTGTTCCATCCTCTGGTTCCTGGTTCTGCTGCTGCTCCTTTGATGGTAGAGCTGTCATCTAGATTCAGAAAGTTCACTGCACAGGAGTCTCCGGGTCCAAAGGACATGCTCGCACTCCTAGCTCTCAAGAGCTCATTTTATAGACAGCAGGAAGGCACTCCAAAGAATCCTCTTCATAATTACTCACAAGCAAATCCTATCAGTTTCTTCTCCCACATTGGTACCAGACCCATGCAGAGAAAGGTTGTTTGGTGAGAGTTAGCAATTAAATAATTCACTGCCCCTGCAGGCCACCCCCTGCCTCTTCTAACTACTGGCCCTTTCCCACTGAAGGATTAACTTCCCTCATTCCAATCTTTTCTTTTTGTGAACATACCCACAGAGTTTGTAAGCCAGACACTTCATGCCTTTATCTTCCCCCATTTTAAATATCCAAATTTTACACTGTCTAACAACTCAGTGCTGAGGCTTGATGTGATGAGTCTTTATTTCTGATTGGAACTTTGGCCAGCTGCATGCAAAAGCAAAGCTCAATCTACAGTAGGCCAATCACCAAAACTGCATCAATATGCACCAGCAGCTAACAGGGTCAAGCATCTTTCTCTTCATTTGGTCAGGCTCTGGGCATACTAGCCCAAGGCATCCCTACTATGTCAATTGGTACCAGCTGCAAGCTTTAGGCATTCGCAAATCTAGGTGGTTGCTATAATGAGCACACCACGCTCACCAGCTCCCTTTAACTTTCAGTCCTAGGAGGTGGCTTCTTCTGTTGGGCACAGACTTCCCAGCTTTAATGCATCAAATGGCAAACTGCTTACTCAAAATAGTCAACAGCTAACAGTCTTTTTCTTTGCAGGTCTTCCCCGCAAATGTAAGATTCCCGTTCTTTCACCAGTTCGGGGTGGGGCTCAGGGTTTCTTTCTAAGCCCTTCACTCTACCTTGGCTTCACACACCTTTTTCTTTTCAGGAAATTCTTACCTCCACTTTTAGCATTTCTAATCAAACACAGGCTGACAGCAGACTCTCAGCCTCTTGTAATCATGATTGATTTCCTATAATACCAGATAGGAAAAATATTGAGTATCAATTGTGAAGCAAAAAACAAACAAACCATATAAACCTAACCTTTTAAATAATAATCAAATATAATAATCCCTTCTCCACCCCTAGATTGTATTTATTTATATACATAGGACCTTTCAGGATGGCACTGGTCGCCTACAATCTTAATAAGCCAGACTTTTCCCCCAGGTCACTCTAAAAGCAGCTTTTCAGCTGCTTATATCATTCCTTACATCAATTACAGGTAACATTAACAAAAATAGCCATTCTAGAAATCAAATATTTTACTTCTCACGACATTTTAGTTCTGTCTCTTAACAAATTCCATCCTTCTACCAGTCTGTAGCCATTGCAGGGCACTTTAAGACAGTGTATCACTGAGAGAACTTGTAGCCATCCAATGATTGCAGAGACATGTTTGACCCTGCTTTGTTTCAATAAAAAACTCATGCATGTATAAACTGGAACCGTAGTAACAATAGCTACTCAATGTTAGATGACAAGTTTCA